AATTCTTGACAAAGACCCGTCAAGCTGTTCATGCTAAAGCCCGGCAGCATTTTGGTATGCGTGATTGCTGGACTCAGGACGGTGTAATTGTGGTGAAAGCTGCTGATGGATCCCGGCATAAGATCATTTCTCTAGACGATCTGAACTCCTTATAGCAGAAATACCCCAAATCAGCAGCTGAATCCTTGGTTGAGGGCAAGACCGTAGTTGTGGGATCAACGAACCCTCTTTCAAAACTTCGTAAGTGACGACAATTGAAGTTTGTAAAATTACAAAATTTCTCAATTTTTTTTTTAATTTTTTTTATGTGAAATGTATACAATTTTATTTTGCTTTATTTCTAGTATAGGTACGTAACTCCAAAATGGTTTCTAAGTAGTACTAAGCGTTGTATTTTTTTTTCTCTAAACTAATTATATCCTCCTTTCTTGTTCTTGTAACATTGATATCGTATTTATAATTACTAAGATAATGTTCGCTTTTTATTCTCTCGAACTACATGGTATTAAATGTAAACATGCTTTTGTATGTTATATTTTTAATTGTCAGTTGTCATTTCTATTCTAGTGTAATGCCAATTTGACGTTTGACAACTTATGGGTAATATTTCGAATTACGGTAACCTGCCATGTAGTGTTATAGTTTATAGTCTATACACGTTGTGTACCGATCTACTCTATGAAATAATTTTGTCTATGTTTTTTTTTGATTTCTTTCTGTTGTAATACCCAATTCGATACTTATGTGTTTAACGTACATATGATTCGTGTTTTACATTATCTTTTTAACTCATTTTGCTTATTATTTGATAAGTTAGTAATTTAAGGTGCGTATGTTAGCTGGCGGGTGGTGCAGAGATGACGGTACGCCTTGGTTTACAACCTAAGTTACGTACGTTTTAATAATAATTTAATTGATTTTATATATTTTATATCATATACTATATATTATATAAAAATCTTGATGATGATTCTTTTTTTTTCTGCCAACGAAACTGCTACATCTATTGACGATAGTTTTTGTTCCATAACTGATACGCTGGGTGATTTTCTACGTCATACATTTGACCAGTCTAGCTCTTCGCTAAATGTGTGTCATATCAATGCACAAAGTGTGCCCAGCCACTACAGTAATCTCATTGAAGCCTTTAATAACGTGAACGTTCATGCCATCCTGATTTCGGAGAGCTGGTTGAAGCCCCATCTTCTTTCAACCACTTACCCCCTCTTTGGTTTCACTTTGATACGTAACGACCGGGTTGATAAGAGAGGGGGTGGTGCTGCTATATACCTCCGCAGTGACTTATCTTATAAACTTCTAGCTTCCTCCTCGCCCTTTTTACTCCGCATCTGCTGAATTTCTTTTTCTTGAAGTATGTGTGAAGGGAGCTAAAACCGTTCTTAGTGTTGTATATTGTCCCCCCTCTGTTGATTACTTCTCCAGTCTCGAAACGACTCTGGAATCTTTAGGATCAGAATACTCACATCACATCATCATGGGTGATTTTAATACAAATCTCCTGGCTTCGCACTCATCCCGTTCCTATAAGTTCCTTCAAATAATCGAGTCGGTTGGCCTTCATGTTCTACCCCTACAAGCCACTCACCACAATGCGGACGGGGAGGACACATGGCTCGATTTAATGCTAACATCAAACCCCACCTTTGTCTCTACTCATGGTCAACATTATGCGTCTGGTTTCTCCCATCATGATCTCATTTTCCTTTCTTATATCCTGAAACCTCCTAAGCCCTCGCCTAAAATCCTGCACTTGCGTAGTTTTGGCCGTATGGATGTAGAGAAGTTGTGTCAGGATGCATCTAAAATTAACTGGGACACAGTGACAGCCGCTCCCACGGTAGACGAAAAAGTTAGCGCATTTAATAACATATTAATTAATCTGTATAATATACATGCTCCTATTAAAAAAGTAAAGCTTAAACGGCTGCCAGCATCTTGGATGACAACAGAGATCCGCGTTGTGATGAGGCGTAGAGACCGAGCCTTTCAGAAATATAGAAAAAAGCGGTGTGAGGAAAATTGGTCCATTTTTAAAACTGCAAGAAATCGGTGTAACCAGATGATACGCAACGCAAAACGCCGATATATTCTTAACAACATCATATCCTCTTCCCCCGCAGATATCTGGAAGTTCCTTGGAACCATGGGTATTGGTAAGAAGTCCCATTCTGAGTTTCAGAGGACAATTGGTTTGGATGATATCAATCAACACTTCTCTTCACATACACCTCTGGATCACCAAACCAAGTGTCAAACTGTTAATCAGATAATGGGTTTACCTCGTCCTAATATCGCTCCTTTCTGCTTCTCTCCAATAGCTACGAATGAGATCAGGAAGGTTATACTCTCCATTAAGTCTAATGCTATTGGTTGTGACAATATCAGTCGCCGTATGATTATTAATATTATAGATCATCTCCTCCCTGCTATTTCCCATATAATTAACTTCTCTCTCGATTCTGGAGTTTTTCCGTCGCTGTGGCGTAAAGCTTACATTATACCTCTCCCAAAAATTTCTAATCCTTCTTTATCTAATCACTTCCGACCTATATCCATTCTTCCCTTTTTTATCAAAGGTGCTAGAGGCTTGTGTACACAAACAGCTGTCACATTTTATCTTCTCGAATAACCTGTTAAGCTCATTACAGTCTGGTTTCAGGCCGGGTCATAGCACTGTTTCCGCGCTCCTCAAAGTCACTGGTGACATTAGGGCAGGCATGGAGGAAACTAAAGTCACAGTACTGGTTTTGGTTGACTTCTCTAACGCCTTTATTGCCATCAGTCACGACATCCTATTATCAATCCTTTCACTTTCTATGATCTCATCTGAGGCTTTGGAGTGGTTCTCATCTTATATTCGACGCCGCCAGCAGTCAGTTCGCATTGACGAGTCCTCATCAAGTTGGTGTGACTTGCATGCTGGTGTTCCTCAAGGCGGTATTCTATCTCCATTGTTATTTTCAATATTTATAAATCTCATTACCCCAAATCTTCAGTGTGCGTATCATTTGTATGCTGATGACTTGCAGTTGTACTCACACGCGAAGGTCGACTGTATATCTACAGCAATTGAGTCTCTTAATAGGGACCTAGAGTATATAAAGAACTGGTCTGATAAGTTTGGTCTTAAAGTTAACCCATCCAAATGTCAGGCTATAATAATAGGTAGCCAATGGATGATAAAGAAACTGGATCCCACAGCTTTACCACCGATCACTTTTAGCGGTTTTATTTTAGAACTGAGTAATTCCGTGAAAGACCTTGGATTGCACATTGACTCCACCTTGAGCTGGCAAACTCAAGTGTCAAATGTTTGTCAGAAAGTGACAGGTATTTTGCGTTCTCTCTACCGCCTGAAGAACTTTCTCCCGTCCAGGACCAAGATGATTATTGTGCAGACCTTAATTTTTCCCATTTTCGACTATGTTGTGTTATTTTGACCTGAATGCAGAACTCTTGAACAAATATGACCGTCTTCTTAATAACTGCATTCGATTCATTTTTAATCTTCGAAAGTATGATCATGTGTCTACTTATCGCTCTCAACTCAACTGGTTACCCATTCGTCAGCGCCGTAGTCTACGTGCACTCACTACTCTTTTCTCTATCTTGATGTCTCCTAATCCTCCATCTTATTTAACTCCTCATTTTCAATATCTTAACTCCAATCATGATAGAGTTCTCCGTTCTAGTAATAACCTTTTGCTTCAGTGCCCCCCTTTTAGTACTAACTTTGTTCAATCATCGTTCTTTGTTCAATCTGTTCTTCTTTGGAACGCTCTTCCTTCCGAAATCAGGAGTGCCGAAAACCGGATTACGTTCAAGTCTAAAGTGCGAGAAATGCTCGTCAATAAAATGGCAGAATCAACTTAGCGTTCGTAGTTAGTAGTATTTAATATTATATTTAAATATATATATGTGTGTGTGTATGTATGTATATATAGTATGTATATATATATATATATATATATATATATGTATGTATGTATATATATATATATATACATATATTTAATTTTATGTATATATACTTACACAATGTTTATATATGTATATATGTATTGTACATACTTCTTATTACACCTACCTTTTTTATATCTGCACTACTCTAAGGTAGACTGGTAGATAATGCCTCAGGCATTAAGTCCGCCTATATACATCTAATGTGTATATGAAGTTAAATAAATAAATAAATAAATAAACCATCACCGAGCAAAACCTGGCAGACCGAGTTTGGTATATCTTGCGCTCAAATAAATTTGATGTCACCGAACTAGAACGGCTACGACGTGAGGCTGTTCCTTCATCGGGTGAAAATGCTGCCGCTGGGGATGCGGCGCCACAAATTGCAGAGCAAACGGCAAACGTGGATGTCGCCGTGAATACCCCTGTTGTGGTTGATTCAAACGCAAGCGGAATAGGGCTGTCGTTAGGGCTCTGACCCCAATGCTGATGACCTATTTGGAAGCCAGCCGGGACCTTTGCGAGACGGACTCAATTCTTTTTGGCGCCGCACTGGCAGTCTGCCGTATGTATTATAGGCGCCAAACTTTCCACGGCTGGACGCGCTACTGGACAAAGTAGTGCTATCCCAGCCTGGAGAATAAGAATTAAAGAACGTATCGCAAAGGCTAGGGCCCTCATCGGCAGACTGATATGCTTCAGGTCAGGCAATATCAGGCCAAGGATTGTGCGCACCGTCAGGATGGCGTTTGCTGGGACAAATGTTAGTTAGTCCCAGACGGATATAATGCAAAAACTGACGGAGCGCATAGACGACCTGAATCAAAGAATCGCTGCTTGCATCATCCTCACCAGCTGGCTTGATGTCGGCAGGGTCTTCGCAGGCCCAGCAATCGGCACCCGCCACTGGTGGAGTACGCCCCATGCGTTGGACAACCCAGATGAACAGCAACGCATTGCGGGCGTATTTTAGGGCGAAAGGGGGAGAAATTGGAGGTTTTGCGTATCGGGCAAGGATGCATCGACTTTTTGCTAAGCTGGAGCCATCTGCAACCATCACCAAGCAAAACCTGGCAGACCGAGTTTGGTATATCTTGCGCTCAAATAAATTTGATGTCACCGAACTCGAACGGCTACGACGTGAGGCTGTTCCTTCAACGGGTGAAAATGCTGCCGCTGGGGATGCGGCGCCACAACTTGCAGAGCAAATGGCAAACGTGGATGTCGCCGTGAATACCCCAGTTGTGGTTGATTCAAACGCAAACGGAATAGGGCTGTCGTTAGGGCTCTGAACCCAATGCTGATGACCTATTTGGAAGCCAGCCGGGACCTTTGCGAGACGGACTCAATTCTTTTTGGCGCCGCACTGGCAGTCTGCCGTATGTATTATAGGCGCCAAACTTTCCACGGCTGGACGCGCTACTGGACAAAGTAGTGCTATCCCAGCCTGGAGAATAAGAATTGAAGAACGTATCGCAAAGGCTAGGTCCCTCATCGGCAGACTGATATGCTTCAGGTCAGGCAATATCAGGCCAAGGATTGTGCGCACCATCAGGATGGCGTTTGCTGGGACAAATGTTAGTTAGTCCCAGCCGGATATAATGCAAAAACTGACGGAGCGCATAGACGACCTGAATCAAAGAATCGCTGCTTGGGGAAAGCGGATTTGGCGATATACCGAGAGGTCGACACGGTTCAACCAGAATCGTCTCTTCCAGAGTGATCAGAAGAGGCTCTATAAATCATTGGAGCGACCAATGGTAAGTGGATCGGGCCCAGCACCGAATCAGGCCGACACGGTCGTATTCTGGCGCAGCCTGTGGTCAGAGCCCGTAAACCACAACGAGGGCCCTTGGACGGAAGTTGTGGCGGGTCAGTGTGCGGGTATTACACCCATGGACCCCGTCATCATAACGCCGGATGACGTAGTTGAGGCGGTCCGTAGGGCCCCGAACTGAAAAAGTCCAGGGCTTGACGGGTTGCATCACTACTGGCTGAAGGGGTTCATGGTGTGTCACGCTGTGCTCGCCCGACAGTTTCAAGAGGCTCTCAACCAGAACTCGCTCCCAAGCCTCTTCACTACTGAGATCAATCATTTGGAACCTAAAGGTCAGGATGCCAGACAGATGCAGACCCGAGAAAATACCGCCCCATCACATGTCTACCGACCATATACAAGACACTAACATCCATTTTGAGCGCGAGAATCACTCGTCACCTGAACTTAAATCAGGTGATGTCACACGCTTTAAATGGATGTCGGGGTGGCGGTCGTCGGAACCAAGGAACTACTCCTCATTGACGCGGTCATTGGCAAAGTGGTGAAACGCAACCGTCGGAACTTCTCCGCCGCCTGGATAGATTTTAGAAAGGCATTTGACTCGGTGCCCCATACATGGCTAAAGAGGGTCCTCGAGCTGTACAAGATTGACTGTACAGTTCGAGACTTCCTCGAGCAGTGTGTGGGGCAGTGGAGTACGATCCTCTGTCATCTAGGCGAGCGGATGACGGCTGTGGACAGCTGCATAAGGATAAGAAGGGGTATATTTCAGGGCGACTGTCTGAGTGCAATCTGGTTATGCCTCTCTTTGAACCCTCTCAGTACTTTACTGGCTCCGGGAGGGGATTTCAGCTTCGGAAAAGAAGTGCAAAAGTGACCCACCTTTTCTATATGAATAACCTCAAATTATTCGCCTCCAGTCGCTCCCATCTTATGGAATTGCTAAACATCACTTGTGAATTTAGCAATTCTATTGGAATGGAGCTGGGGACGGATAAGTGTGCGGTCCTCCATGTTGAAAGGGGAAGGGTTGCTAACTCTGAGGTCATAGACTTATCTATGCCCGTCAACTTAAGGACCCTTTCCGAGGCTGAAACATACCGATACCTGGGTACACATCGGTAGAATATCGGTATCGATGAGGCTGGTATGAAACAGTCAGTTTGCGACGTGTTTTATGCACGCTTGACCAAAGTGCTTAACAGCCTTTTGTCCAGTGTGAATAAGACACAAGCATATAACGGCTGGGTCATGCCTGTCCTCATGTATACCTTTGGCATACTCAAGTGGACTCAGACTTAACTTAACGCCCTGGATAGAAAAGTCCGCACTACCATGACGTCCAATAGGATGCATCATCCGAGATCGTCGGTAATGAGGCTGTACTTGCCGCGAAAGCATGGTGGCCGTGGCTTCCTGAGCGCGCTCACCATGCATAATCGCGAAGTGTGCAGCCTACGTCATTACTTCCTGGCGAGATCGGATGATCCATTCTATAGGGACGTCATTTCTAGTGATAAAGGGCTTACTCCTCTATCCTTAGCCAACGAGCAATGGCAGGACCCAGCAGTGCATAGCATTTCCGACCGGGAGACCGTATGGAAGGAGAAGGAGCTCCACGGGAGGTACTACAGGGCTCTACATGAGCCCTATGTAGACACAGTCGCCTCCCACAACCGGCTACGTTTCGGTGACCTCTTCGCGGAAACCGAGGGTTTTGTCTGTACAATACAGGATCAGGTTATTAAGACCAACAACTATCGGAGATACATCCTAAAGGATGGCACTGTCGACATCTGTCAAGCTTGTTGCCATCCCGGGAAGTCACTTAGGCATGTCAATTACGGTTGTTCGGCGCTTTCTAACTCTGAGTACTTGCACGGGCACAACCTAGTAGCCAGAATTCTAAACCAGGAGCTCGCTCTGAAATACGGTCTCTTAGACCGGAAATTGCCGTATTACAAGTACTTGCTGAAAGCCGCGCTCGAAAATGACCGCGCCAGGCTCTACTCGGACCGGGCCATCATCACAGACAGGACTATTCTTACGAATAAGCCTGATATTGTGCTGATGGACCGGACAATATCAAGGATATTTTTGGTGAAAGCCGAAACAGATAAACGAACTAAATATCTGGACCTGGCTCACGAGGTGAGCGACATGTGGGGCGGTCTGCTGGTCGAAATTATTCCTGTAGTCGTCTCTGGGAATGGGCTAATCCCAGTCAGCCTCTCGGGTCATCTGAGGCGACTGGGACTCCGTAACGGACCGCTCCGGGCTCAAATGCAGAAGGTGGTGCTCCTCGATACCGCCCGTATCGTCTGCTGGTTTCTTTCCCTTTCCTCCTAACCCTCGGCCGTTTGGTCTCCCCTGCCGAGGGCTTCCATCTGGTTGGGGTTTTATTTATTTATGTATTTATTTTATTTTATTGATATTTATGTATATTCATCTTTTCATTTTAATTTATAATTATATATTTATAGAACCCAACCAGATGAGAAAACTATATAGATACCCCAAATAATAATAATGTCCTCCAGACCGAATTTCGTCCGCGGCGGCCTGCCTCAACGGAGACTAGCCATCGGCGCAGGACAGGATTATAGTGCCAAAGTGTATGCGCAAGTACTTTCTATTCCCTTACTCTCATAATCCGATGGGACGGTAAACCGACACGACCGATATCAGGCGCGGGACCAACGGCTTTACGTGTTTAAATTTTTTTCTTCTTTTTTCTTTCCGAGGCACGGGGTGAGACACCGCCAACTTCCTGACTCCGGGCAACTACTGAGAATTTCTTGACGGAAAAACTCAATAATTGATTTTTTGGCCCGACCCGGCATTCGAAATCAGGACTCATGATCAGCAGTCGTATTTGGAGATCTATCTGTTTAGTTACCTGTACGCTGTCATATCCGTTGAAAACTGCAGTTTTACTTCACATCTAACAGCCATAAGTTAAGAATGTAATAGAAAAGTTTTTGGGTATTTCTGCGGCGGGTCTTGCAAAACTTAGCGACTGCATGGACAGTTTCCATGAGCTTGTCATTTATATCGTCCACTATATTGTAATCTTCTAGGCACTCAAAACAATTTCTTTGGAGGGTACGGTACGTTGACTTCGTTAAAATTAACATTAAGTTTCGGTGTGACTCTCACCATTCGGCCATCACTACGGTTTTCACCCTGGCCATCACTACGGTTTTCACCCTGGCCATCACTGACAAAACCATGTAAGGGAGGTGTAAGAATATCCACCACCTCATATCCCGTGGGAGTCTTAAGAGGCGACAGAGGGAAATTGAAACAGGTGATGGGCAGCAGCATCTTCGTGATAACAACTCAAAATAATAAAAAACCGGTTTTTTTGCGCCCGAAGCAAATATGGGCAACCCTCCGGAAAACGGGGGAGGGAGGCGGTGAATGCTCATAGCATACCACGCAGCCGGCTGCGTGATTATATGGAGACTTTTACCCACTAAACACCGCCTTTAGGGACTGGCTTAACAATCTAGCTAGAGATCTTTAAGCCGTATCGAACGCGACCCCCCTTGGGAGAAAGGGGGCCGCTAGCGGCGAGTAGCCGCTGGGAAGAGTTGCTGCCTAATTAAGGCAGCTTACGAATGGGATCACTACTTATATTCAGTTTAGAAGGTGTTAGTGCTCGGTAAGCGCGAGCAGACGGTCTTGAGGGGACTGAGAAGCGCGCAGTTTGCGTGCTAAAATTGCGATCTATCGATTACGTCGATATTGCGGAAACCTTACGAGAGATTTCTTTGACCGTCGAGGTGAGGTGGGCTGATACGGCGCTAATCGCCTCATTGGCCTTCTCTGGCGAGTCTATTTTGTCTGGGATTTTGTCTAAGTGCTGGGAGGTCGTAGATTGGAGTTTAAAACTTACGCCAGTCCACGATGCTTTTGGTCTGAAGGACCTCCTGCGAATTATCCAAACGGTAACCAAGCAAATGATGAATCTTATTTCTTGGGCGCGCAGGTGATTAGTCAGACTGCGGAAGCCCTTAGTCGAGTCGACGAAAATGTGAATGCCCTGGCCAGCTTTGCACCTTCGAGTAGTAAATTATTTGGCGTTCAACCAGTTGGAAAAATTGTTCCACTTGGTCTTGTCCTGGACGATAATGGGTGGCGGTGGCTTTTTCCTACGTTCAGCACCCCTTTCACTGCGGGCTTAGCTGCAGGCTTGAGGATTGTGCGTGCGCCGCAGGGGCTGGCTTTTTACCGGAGTGGTGTTGGGGGATAAATGAGGCTCAGGCACCTTTTTGGGGGCTGCGCGTTTGTGCTTTTTACCCTGAACGAGGGTAAAGCCTTCGTTTTTGGGCTTGGACGGGGTACGCGTCTATATTTCATTGTCGGAGCATGGTTTGGCATCCGAGAGAGGCCGATATACTGGTATTTTGTGAGTATTAACTCCCGAGTAGATACGTTGTCAACTGAGGACCAAGATGGAGCGCCTGGATATAACAAAAAACGGTCTTCGGGTTTCGTAAAATATAT